GCTGAAGTGAAAAAAAAAAGCAGGGGGAGAAATCCTGATCTCAGACAAAGCAAAAGCAAAAATAGATCTTATCAAAAGAGATAAGGAAGGAAACTACATTCTGCTAAAAGGCACTATAGACAATGAAGTATCATTACTAAACATATATGCACCAAATGGTATAGCATCCAAACTCTTAGATGAGAAGTTCATGGAGTTACAGGAAGAAATAGACAGCAAAACTATACTAGTGGGGGACCTCAACCTCCCACTCTCTGAACTAGATAAATCTAACCACAAAATAAACAAGAAAGAAGGTAAGGAGGTGAATAGAACATTAGAAAAGTTAGGTATGATAGACCTCTGGAGAAAACTGAATGGGGATAGAAAGGAATATACTTTTTTCTTGGTGGTACATGGCATATACACAGAAATTGACCATGTACTAGGGCATAAAAACCTCACAGTCCAATGCAGAAAGGCAGAAATATTAAATGCATCCTTTTCAGATCATGATGCAATAAAAATTATATGTAATAAAGGGTCATGGAAAGATAGACTAAAAAATAATTGGAAACTAAATAATCTAATCCCAAAAAATGATTGGGTCAAACAACAAATCATAGAAACAATCAATAACTTCATTTAAGAGAATGACAATAATGAGACAACATACCAAAACTTATGGGATGCAGTGAAAGCAGTTCTTAGGGGAAGTTTTATATCTCTAAATGCTTACACAAATAAAATAGAAAAAGAGGAGATCAATGAATTGGGCATACAAGTAAAAAAACTAGAAAAAGAACAAATTAAAAATCCTCAATTAAACACCAAATTATAAATATTGAAAACCAAAGGAAAAATTAACAAAATTGAAATTAAGAAAACTATTGAACTAATAAATAAAACTAAGAACTGGTTTTATGAAAAAAAACAATAAAATAGATAAACTTTTGGTTAATCTAATTTAAAAAAAGAAAGAAGAAAACCAAATTACCAGTATCAAGAATGAAAAGGGTGAAACTACCACCAAGGAAGAGGAAATTAAAACAACAATTAGGAATTATTTTGCCCAACTATATGCCAACAAATTTGACAATCTTAGTGAAATGGGTACATATTTACAAAAATATAAATTGCCCAGATTAACAGAAGAGGAAGTAAAATACTTAAATAACCCAATCTCAGAAAAAGAAACTGAACAAGCCATTGATGAACTCCCTAGGAAAAAATCTCCAGGGCCAATTGGATTTACATGCAAATTCTATCAAACATTTAAAGAACAATTAATTCCAATACTATATGCACTATTTGGTAAAATAGGTGAAGAAGGAATCTTACCAAATTCTTTTTATGATATAAATATGGTGCTGATATCTAAGCCAGGAAGAGTCAAAACAGAGAAAGAAAATTATAGACCAATTTCTCTAATGAATATAGATGCAAAAATTTTAAACAAAATATTAGCAAATAGATTACAGCAACTTATCACAAGAATGACACACTATGAGCAGGTAGGATTTACACAAGGAATGCAGGGCTGGTTCAATATAAGGAAAACTATCAGCATAATTCATCATATCAACAGCAAAACTAACAGAAACTACATGATCATCTCAATAGATGCAGAAAAAGCTTTTGACAAAATACAACACCCTTTCCCATTAAAAACACTAGAGAGCATAGGTAAAAATGGACTCTTCCTTAAAATAATAAATAGCATCTATCTAAAACTTTCAGCAAGCATAATATGTAATGGGGACAAGCTAGAAGCATTTCCAGTAAGATTGGGGGTGAAACAAGGATGTCCATTATCACCACTGCTATTCAATATTGTACTGGAAACATTAGCTTTAGCAATAAGAGAAGAAAAAGACATTGCAGGCATTAGAATAGGCAAAGAAGAAACAAGGCTATCACTCTTTACAGATGACATGATATTATACTTATAGAATCCCAGAGAATCAAGTAAAAAACTACTTGAAATAATAAACAACTTTAGCAAAGTTGCAGGCTATAAAATAAACCCACATAAATCATTGGCATTTCTATATATTACCAACAAAGCCCAATAGCAAGAGATAGAAAGAGAAATTCCATTTAAACTTACTGTAGACATTATAAAATATTTAGGAGTCTATATCCCGAAACAAACCCAGGAACTCTATGAACACAATTACAAACCACTTTTCACGCAAATAAAATCAGATCTAAACAATTGGAAAAACATCAGTTGCCCATGGGTAGGCTGAGCTAATATAATAAAAATGACAATTCTATCTAAGCTAATTTACTTATTCAGTGCCATACCAATCAAAGTACCAAAAAACTATTTTATAGAATTAGAAAAAATAATAACAAGATTCATTTGGAAGAACAAGAGATCCAGAATATCAAGAGAACTAATGAAAAGAAATGCAGGGGAAGGTGGCCTAGTCATTCCAGATCTTAAATTGTGTTGTAAAGCAGCAATCATCAAAACTGCTTGGTACTGGCTAAGAAATAGAGTGGTGGATCAAAGGAATAGGTTAAATATGCAAGACACAGTAGTAAATGACTATAGTAATCTATTATTTGATAAACCCCCCACCTTCTGGGATAAGAACCCACTCTTTGTTTTTGTTTTTGTTTCTTGTTTTGCTTTGTTTTGTTTTTTGGGCAATCGGGGTTAAGTGACTTGCCCAGGGTCACACAGCTAGTAAGTGTCAAGTGTTTGGTCTGAAGCTGGATTTGAACTCAGGTCCCCCTGACTTCAGGGCCAGTGCTCTATCCACTGAGCCACCTAGATGCCCCAGAACCCACTCTTTGAAAAAAACTGCTGGGAAAACTGGAAAAGAGTATGGCAGAAACTAGGCATTGATCAAAATCTCACACCATATACCAAAATAAAGTCAAAATGGGTTCATGATTTACATATAAAGGCTGATACTATAAGCAAACTGGGAGAGCAAGGAATAGTTTACCTGTCAGATCTGTGGAGAACAGAAGAATTCATGACCGAACAGGAGATAGAGAACATTACAAAAAGCAAAATAGATAATTTTGATTACATTAAATTGAAAAGTTTTTGCACAAACAAAGCCAATGCAACTAAGATTAGAAGGAAGGTAGAAAATTGGGAAAGAATTTTTACAACCAGTGTCTCTGATAAGGGCCTCATTTCTAAAATATATAGAGAATTAAGTCAAATTTATAAGAATACAAGCCATTCCATGACCAATTGATAAATGGTCAAAGGATATGAACAGGCTGTTCTCAGATGAAGAAATTAAAGCCATCTATAGTCATATAAAAAAATGCTCTAAATCACTATTGATTAGAGAAATGCAAATCAAAACAATTCTGAGGCACCACATCACACCTATCAGAATGGCCAACATGACAAAACAGGAAAATGATAAATGTTGGAGAAGATGTGGGAAAATTGGAACACTAATGCATTGTTGGTGGAGTTGTGAAATGACCCAACCATTTTGGAGAGCAATTTGGAACTATGCACAAAGGGCGATAAAAATGTGCATACCCTTTGACCCAGCAATAGCACTTCTAGGGCTATACCCCAAAGAGATGACATAAACAGGAAAAGGACCTACATGTACAAAAATATTCATAGCAGCTCTTTTTGTGGTGGCAAAGAATTGGAAATTGAGAGGATGCCCATCAATTTGGGAATGGCTGAGCAAGTTGTGGTATACGAAGGTGATGGAATACTAGTGTGCTACAAGAAATGATGAGCAGGCTGACTTCAGAAAAACCTGGAAAGACTTGTATGGTATGATGCTGAGTGAAGTGAGCAGAACCAAAAGAACATTGTACACAATAACAGCCATGTTGTGTGATGACTAATATTCATAAACTTAACCCTTCCTGGCAATACAAGAATCTAAGACATCTCCAGAGAACTTGTGATGGAAAATGCTATCCACACCCAAAGAAAGAACTATGGAAGCCAAATTGATAATTTTTTTCTCTTCTGTTGAGTTTTCTTTCCCCTTTCTGATGGTTTCTCCTATTGGTTTTAATTTCTACTTACAACATCACTAATGTGAAAATACGTTTAATATGGATGTAAATGTATAGCCTATATCAGATTATGTGCCATCTTGGGGAGGGTGGTGGGGAGGAAGGGGGAGAAAAATTTTAAACTCAAAAGCATATGAAAGTGATTATTGATAAATCAAAATAAATTAATTAAAAAAGGAAAAAAAGAAGATATCTTTTCTTTATACAAAAATAGCTTTTCTCACCTTTTCTTCACAAAACTGTTCCTTGTGAAGACCTTAAAAGGACTGTTGAAAGGTACATTGCCTCAGTTCCCCATTGTTCCCAGTCCTGATCATCAATCAGGATGGGGGGACATCTGGTAGGGAATGAGACACTAAGTCTGCAGCTTTTTGTATCACCTGCTCTTTGTCACATACCCCAACCTACAGATTGTCATGTTCTTCCTACCTCGGGGAGGAATTGAGACACAAGGGCCCAGTCTCTTCTGGTGGACTTATCTGATTTGTCTTAAAGTTACCTGTCAGTGACCAGCCTTCAATGTGCTGCTACCTTGACATACTTATAATATAATCCATTTAATTCCCTTTGTCCTGAATTTTGCCTCTTTAATCAGGGTGAAAGCCCAAATGAAGAATTTTTCTTTCAGCAGGACAGTGTAGATTACTAGACAAGAGAAGGAGGATAATTTACTTATCAGAAGATTCTAGTGGGAGGGGAAGGAGGAGCTTGAAAATCATGGCCAGGTGAGCAAGCAGGATAATGGTTCTAAGGTACAAAGGGAAACAGAGAAGGAGAGAGAGTGAGCAAAGGTCTAGTTAAGCCAGAAATCTAATAATTAAGAGCTGGTTACATGTTAGTCCAGAGGATTGTTTTGTGCCAAGTAAAAATCTCTTTTTCCTGGTTCCTCAATTCAGTGACCCTTTTGCCTCTAAGGGGCTCAACAGGGACAGCACACCCAGTTACGTAATATTAGACGTCTCTTTGTCTTTATCTCCCCAGTTTCAGGAAATGGGAGGTCTTTTTGTCAGACAACTTTCATTTTCCATCTGCCTTTTGCTGCTCACACACAGCCGGGCTCCAGGAACACCCCACACCAACACTGATCCCAAAACTCAGCTCTCTGAGGAGGGAGAGAAAGCTGTGCATTTTGGTAAAGCCATAGTGCCCAGACTGGCCAGGTAAGGGGTTGATGGCACCTCTTCAGGAGGGTGGGCTCCCTGCTCTGTCCAGGGGGCAGACCTGTCCCTCTCAGACAGTCTGTTTTATTTCTCTGATTGTTTAAAATCTTAGCTTTGGCTCCCGCTGAGTCTGGTGAAGTACACGTGTGTTGGCTGAATCCCCACTTCCTCCAAGAGCCCCAGAGTTAGTTCTTAGAGGATGATCCCTTCCCAAGAGATTGGCTGTCCTTTCACACTTTGCCAAATTTGCGAGTGAGGAATGTTCTTGAGGGGTGGTGGGTGAGGAAGAAAACCTGCACTTGATCAGCAAATCTAAAGGAGGGAACAAACAAATTTGCCTATAGAGTGGGTCAAGGTCATTATTGAGTTGAGATTTGGGTCACTATAAAAGAACAGGGACTCATAGCAAAGTTATTACCCTAAAATGAAAAGCCAGCTTTACCCTTAATCACAGAAGGTGGTGTCCTGAGCGCTGCAGTTGAAAGACCAATTTCAATTTCCCCAAAATGTCCCCTTTTCTTTTTCCTGCCTCAAATACCTGTTCCAGATATATATCTCATTTAGACATTAATTTCTTTGGGTTAAGCATTGCTTTCTCCAGGTGTCCTTTAGCTACATTCTCTTCCTAGACAAAGATTTACTTAGCCTTTCCCAAAGGAAGGGAAGAAAGCCAGCCCAGGCTCCCCTTCCTTTGACCTTCCTTCTGGGTGCTCTGGCCATTCTTCTCCACTCCTGGGTGTTCACAGCAGCCCCCTGGAAAAAAAGAAAGGGGGAGCCAAAGGAGGCAAAAAGGCATCAAAGGCAGAATGAGCTCACTTCACAATTTTGCTGCACTCTGCAGTGAGCCAGCTGAGAGTACCCAACCATGGCTGCTGTGATACTCACAAAGAACCCCTGAAATCACAGGGGAGGGCCATGTTATGGAGCTGGAAGTGCCCTGCAGAAGCAATTATGCGGGGCTGGATGGCTCCATTTGTCTAACCTAGTGTGTGTGTGGGAGGGAAGGGGGGAAAGGAATGAAGAATGGCCACGGCAGCCACCAGGAAGGTCTGGGGAAGGATGGGGAGCCTGAGCTGACTCATCTTCTTAAACTAAACTTAGAAGTTTTCTTTCTTACTCTAACACATTTCTCCTGCCATGAAGACAACTTTTAGGTCTTCTCTCGGGGAATTCTGCGACTATACAGTCTCATCTCCCCAGCAGGGTCAGTGTCCCAGGGAAGCTGACATCTGAGCAATTTATCTTTGGTGGCCCCAACCTCCTCTTTCTGTACTTTCCTCCACAAGCTTCCCTTCTTCACCAGCAACCCAGGGTCCTAATGCTGCCCTATTTCTCCTGTCAGAGAGTAAAGTCATCTAAAAGACTCACACATAACTGCTACAAAAGTATTAGAGTTACAGTGTATTATCATCCTGCCCACAAACCATTTGTCCTCTAAAACAGGATCTCAAGGAGGAGGCAATGCTAATTCAAAAGAATGCCCTACCAAGGAGAAAATTTCAGGAAGAGGAAGGGAGACATTTTAGGAGAAGAGGTTTGCTTGGTGTCCTTTAGACCCCAAGATGTAATGTAGCCAGACCATCTGCTATGATCATGAATAAGAAACACCTTAGATAGACGGAACGTTTCTAGTTGTGGAGATACTTAGAAGATAGTTTCCATCACCGGTCCCTACCCTTCCCCCAGAGACTGGTGGGGGCCCTGGACTTGGGTAAAGCCTGTCCTTCCCAATGCCATAGGAAAAGCTGAGGGCCTCTGCTCTGACTCCCTGCCAACCCTGGGGTAGACTAACCTCTGGCTTTAGACAAGTCAATTCCTTCTATCCCTGGTTTCTTTTTGGACATTGAGAGTTACACTGAGAAGCAGCAAATAAAACAAGGGTTCCAAATGTTTCCTCTTTAGGGTTTTTATTTTGTTTTATTTTGTTTCTGTTTGAGAGAAGCAGCTGCATTTCCTGTTTGGCTCCAGAATGCTACTGTTTATGGGGTGGCAGCCTAGAAGCTTCTAGAGGGTGCATCTATAGCCTTCTTTACATCTCCCTTTTTGCATGGATCTTTACATTTGAAAATGAACAGTTTTGCTGTCACACATACTTTACTCTTTCTATTTTTTAGAGAAAAACCAAAAAAGCAAGAAAGCCATTCATGCCACATGAATATAATCCATTTGACAGCACAGGGCTGGACTAGATGTCTCTTCAGGCTTCCTTCAGCACATAGAGCATTGCTGCTGCTCTCTGTGAAACCTGTCACCCTCCAAGAGGGTAGTGCTCGGCTACTTGGTCTCCCTCTAAGTCTCTCCCTTCTCCCGTCCATCCTCCACATAGTTATCAAATTGATTTTCCTGAAGCTCAGTTTGCGCAAGTCACTCCCTTATTCAATAATCTCTCTTGGCTCCCTACTCCCTCTGCAGTAAAATATAAAACCCTCTGTTTAGCATAGAAATCTCTTTGCCACCTGGCCCCAACCTACCTCTCCTATGATATCTGTAATACTCCCCTTCATGCATTTTCCAGTCCAGTTAAACTTGTCTTCTTGCTATTCATCGCCCTTGCTACACTATCTCCAGTCCAGGACCCAGTGAAGGCAAGTGATTTGGCCAAGTCCAAAAAGCCAGTTAAAGGCAGAGGTGTGGACCAGAACCTAGGTCTCCTGACCCTGAGTCACAGTCTCTTTTTACTTCAACACAATTGACAATGACTTCAATTCTCATTCTTTTTCTACAGAAGTTGCACCCTGTAATCATCAAAGGCTATAGTGAAGACAATCCTGACAACATGAGTGAGGAGACAAGCCATGGTGAGCACACACTCAGGACTCCCCTGGACAGGGTTGGGAAAGGAGGTGACTAAGATCAGATAAGGTTCCCTTTTTTTTTTTTTAACAACTAGGATTTTGGTCCTTTTCTAAGTAGACCAAAGCTTCTCTGAGCAGCATTCTCCATTTGCCTGGCCTTCACTCAGTTTCTCTTCTTTATTTTCCTCTTTCCTTCATATTCTCTAATTCTTTCTCCTTTTTTCCTTCCTGTATGTTTAACCAGTTCCCTTTTTGTCACAGCAACAACAATAGGAAAAATGGGGAATAAGAATCTGTTTGCTTCCTCCATCACTAAAATGGGCTCTACTGGATGAGGTTGGCCATAACCAGGACATCTGAGGGTTGCCACTCCGTATCTAACCTATTTATTCTTTCTGATAAGATGTTGTACTTGTGTAGTGTGGAATGGGAAGAAGAAATGAGAACATGGCTGCTTTAGTGACTACTACATCCTTTGTGGGAAAATATTCCCTGCTTGTTTGAGGGCTATAACTAGACTGGATCAGCTGCTGACATTCAGGAGGCACCCTTCCTTCTTGTATATAACCCAATGTCTCCACTAGTGTCCACCCCTGAGGGGAAAGAAAGGTAGTGGAAATGCCAGCAGTGTTAGGTGGAGGGCCAACAGAGGATGGGAGAGGAGAGTAATTGGATCAGCTACCCCCTCCACCTAATTAGAATATTGGTATGATACCACCCTTCAATTTTCACCTATCACCTGTTTTTGTTCCAGGGGAAAAATACTTCAATATATTTGTTTTTAGGGCTTAAAAATTTAATTGCCAGAGCATTCAAGGTCTACCAAGAATGGTTACTATTATGTATAGAATCTTAGACCCCCCCTGCCAATTGCAGATAGTTCTTCATCCCTGGCTCCATCCTTGGAGCATTTGCTGCTTACCGGACCTAACCCTTTCTTCTCTCTTTTGCCCATTTTTCCTCTTGGCTTTTGCCAACCAATCAACACAATGTTGGATGTGATATTATAGCATTTGACTTTTTCAGGTTTTTGTTATGGTTACTCAGGTATGCTTAGATATGGTTTCTTTTTTATAAAGTCTTTATTTTCCACTCATGCATACAATTATTCACGCATGCACACATAACAGTTAACATTTACATAAGGGCTTTAGGGTTTGCAAAGCACTTTTCACAGGTTTTCTCAATTGGTCTTTACAACACTCCTATGTGGTAGGTAATTTTATTATTCCCGATTGACAAAGGAAACTGAGGCTGAAAGAGAGTTGACAACTTCTCTAGGACCACATAAGTAGTAAGTATCTGAGGGAAGATTCAAATTCAGGTCTTACTGCCTCCACATCCAGAATTCTATCATGTCAGTTGCCTCTCTACATAAACTACTTCTGGGTATAGATCTGTTTTAATTAACAAAGGATTCACTGTGTATGTAAAACTATAACTGTTAGCACAAGGCAGGTTAGAGAAGTACCTAAAGAATGGCAGAGACAAAAAGCCCTATATAAATTTTGAGGATGAAAAGTCCATGGGCTGAGGTCATTAGGAAAGATTTCAAGAAAGAACTAAGCCCTGAACAAAGTCTAGCTAGGTTCTAGGGAAGCAAAGAACAATCTGACATTCTTTATGTGGAGAATGGAGTGAGCAAAGTCTTGGCAATGAGAATGCTGGCAGTGAGTCTTGGAAACAGTGAAGAGACTCACCTAATTGGGATAGAGAGGATAATCTATGAAGGAGTGGGTTACAAGATTAGAAAAGTAGACTGGGACTGGATGGTAGAGAACCTAGAATGTCAGGCTAAAGTATTGAGTATTCATCCCATACAATAAAGTGGCATAAAAGCCACAAAAGGTTTTATAAGATGGAAGTGATGTGATGAATAAGATATTTTATTTTATTTTATTTCATAATAATATTTTCCCCACAGTTACCCGTGAAGAAAATTTTTAGCATTCATTTTTACTAGATTTCAAGTTCCCAATTTTTCACCTTCCCTCCTTCCCCTGCTTCTTAAAATGGTAGGCAGTTTGATATAGTTTATACGTATGCTGTTATGTAAAGCATATTTCCATATTCATCACAATTGTGAAAGAAGACACATTTTAAATAAAACCATGAGAAAGAATAAAGTAAATGAAAAGAAAATAGGCTTCAATCTGAATTCAGCGTCCATGAGTTCTTTATCTGGATATGGTTAGCATTTTCCTCTGTGAGTCCTTTGTATTTGTCTTGGATCGTTGTATTGCTGAGAAGAGTTGAATCATTCATAGTTGATTATCACACAATGTTGCTGATATTGTGTACAATATTTTCCTGGTTCTGCTCATTTCACTTTGTATCAGTTCGTACAGGTCTTTCCACGATTTTCTTAATCTGCCCATTCATCATTTCTTATTACATAATAGTACTCCATTACATTCATGTACCACAACTTCTTCAACCATTCTCCAATTGATGGGAATCTCCTCAGTTTTCAATATTTTGCCCACCACAAATATAGCTTCCTTAAATATTTTTGTACAAGTAGGTCCTTTTCCCTTTTTTTTTGATCTCTTTAGGATACAGACTTAGTAGTATATTGCCGGATCAAAGGATATGCATAGTTTGGTTGCCCTTGGGGCATAGTTCCAAATTGCTCTCCAGAATGGTTGGATCAGTTTACAACTCCACCAACAGTGCATCAGTGTCCCAATTTTACCACGTCTTCTCCAGTATTTATCATTTTCCTTTTGTGTCACATTAGCCAATCTGATAGGTGTAAGGTGGTACCGCAGAGTTGTTTTAATTTCATTTCTGTAATCAAAAGTGATTTAGACCAGGGCTTCTTAAAATGTCGGTCACAACCCCATGGGGATTATATGGGGTCACATAAATGAATGTTGAGGTTGTGAAAAATTTGGCAACAGTAAAAGTTTTCTGAATATGCAATGACCAAAAATTAATTCAAAATCAAATGCATAATGAATCCAAGGTATTTCTGGCAATGCTTGCCCATGTTGCATTGTGCAACTTCATTGCAGCCTTGGTTCTGAACACATAAATGTGCACTTTGCACTGTGCATGCCATCATGTCAAGCAATGCAATGAGTGCTGCCACAAACACCTTGGCTCAGATTCAAGATTTGTGTATTATGAACTGAAGTGTTTTTACTGTACATGCAAAATTGTTAAATGAATTTTTGCTTTGGATTAGAACAAAATTTCCAACAATTTCTGAAATGGCCCTATATATATTTCTGCCATTTTGTACTACATATTTATGTGAAGAGGCATTCTCAGCATTGATGGTTGCAAAATCAAAATATAGATCAACTCTGAAAAGTGTTGAAGATGCTCTATGTCCTGTAGTATCAAATATTCCACCAAGATTCAATTCTTTATGTAAAAATAAATAAGCACATCCATCTCATTAGTGTGCAAATTTGTTTTCCTCTTTAATAAATGGTAAAATCATATGTATACCAAATAATTGTTTTAAAATAAATTTCTTTACGATTTATTGCCAGTAAATGTTTGATTTGTATACCTGTTTTATATACCTATGTACCTGGGGTCATGTAAAAATTTCTCAGGTGAAAAGGTGTCACTAGTAGAAAAAGTTTAATAAGCCTTGATCTAATCCAACTTCCTCATTCTACATGTGAGGGAACCAAGGTTCACATAGGTGAGTTGACTTCCCCAAGATCACACAGGTAATAAGAAGCAAAGCCAGCATTAGAGCCCAGGTCTTCTGATTCTGAATCCAGGATTTTTTCCATGGCACCACTGTGGTTCTATGGATTGAGAAAGAGAGATTGGACTCCACTTATAGAAATACTATAGCAATCCAGGTCTGAAGTAGGGTATTAGGAATGGGAATGGAAAGTTAAGGACAGAAGAGAGAAACACATAAGTTCATTGACAACATGGTCTGTGAATTATTTACCTTTATAATTCTCTCCAGGCTCAGTGCAGCGCCTTGCACATAGCAGTCACTCAATAAATGTTTTGTTAAATTATATTAAAAACCAAAAAGTTTTGTGAAGATAAATAAGGTTAGTTCTAGAAGCATTTGAGGGATACAGGATGGGCAGACCAACAAAAGAGTCAATATTAGGTGCCAAACATCCGTAAGGTGAACCTATATCTGAGCCAGAGAGTTACATGCTTGTTACTACTGAAGGACCTAATGCCAATGTGCATGTGACTCTGAGGCTGAAGCTAAGAGCAGAGACATGTCTGTCCTGGGTGGAAAGCGAGACTGAAAGGACAGCAGTTGAAGGTAGAGCTTAACCCTGTCCCTCTCATTACCCACATCTCAGGTTATGGACACCAAGACCCCAGCAAAAAGCAACTGAGACTTGTCCTGGTGGGTAAAACAGGAGCTGGGAAAAGTGCAACAGGGAACAGCATCCTTGGAAAACGAGCATTTGAGGCAAGACTAGCAGCAAAGTCGGTGACCAAGAACAGCGTGAAAACAAGCAGATTGTGGAATGAGCGAGAAATTGTAGTTGTGGATACTCCTGGGATTTTTGACACCCATGTGTCTGATGTGGACACTTCAAAGGAGATCAGTCGCTGCCTCATTATGTCCTCCCCTGGGCCTCATGCCATCATCCTGGTGGTCCCACTCAGTCGTTATACCAAGGAGGAACAAGATGCAGTGAAGAAGATCCTGATGATTTTTGGTTCCAAAGCCAAGAAATATATGATCCTTTTATTGACTCGGAAGGATGATTTGGAAGGTTCTGATTTGCATCAATACTTAGGTGAAACTAAGAATGAAGCTTTGAAAGACCTGATTGGTCAGTTTGATGGAAGATACTGTGCATTCAACAACCGGGCCACTGGAAATGAGCAGGAGAGCCAGCTAATAGAACTTCTGCGACTGGTTGAGCAAGTAGTACAGAAGAATGGAGACTCTTGTTACACAAACCAGATGTATAAACTGGCAGAAAAGAAGATTCAGAAAGAAACTGAAGCATTGCAAAGATCCTACATGCAAGACCTGGAAAGATTGAAAAAGGAAATAAGACAAGAATATGAAAAGGAAATCAGAAACTTAAAGGATGAGCTGGAGCGAAAAGAAAGAGAAAAAGAAATGCATAAGGAACTTGCAGAAAAAGAAGCTTTCTATGAAAATAAGCAAAGAGATGCCAGACATGAGGTTATAAACCTTAATGAGTTCCTTGAAAATTTCCTGAGAATCTTGGGAGTAGCTTCTGACTTCATTAAATGTCTATTTAAGGATTAAGGAACTTAGCAAAACTGTTTTATGTTTTCTGCTGCTTTCCCAGCATCTTCCTTCTCTATTGGTTATTAATGAATACTCAGGCATCACAAGTCCACCCTACCACTCATGTGTCCAAGAATAAAGATAGTTGCAAACTTTTGGTATATAACAACTACACTAATATTTAGTAAATAACATCTCAGTCTAAAAATAAAAGGACAGATTATTTTCCTGTGAAAATCCAGAAAAGGAAATTCTAACTCATTCTGAACTGGAAAATTTCCCTCCAAGATTTAGAGGAGGAAAAATGGAACAATAGTCAAGAATGCAAATGGTTTTTAATATTTCTCCATCCTCTCCTCCCTAGAAAGGGAATGTATTCTCTGTGTGGTGACTCTCATTCACATTTCAATTGTTGTCATCATCAAGGAACATATAATAGCTAATATTTGTGTAGGAATTTAGGGTTTGCAGAACACTTTACATAATGTTTACTTACAAACAATTACATATAAATTGTGTCATCTGATTTGATCCTCATAATAACCCAGTAAGATAGATGCTATTATTATCCACATTTTATCAATAAGGAAATTAAATCTAGAATCTAAAGTTTCTCATGATAATGGGGTTAGTAAGTGCCTGAGTCAGTATTTGAATTCAAAACTTCTTTTCTCTAAGTCTGATACTCTACTCACTACACCACCTACTTGCCAGTTTCACATTGGCCATTATATCCTTGCTATTCATCTTAATCAAATAGTACTTATGGAGGGAGAAGATGAAATCCTATTATATTCATTTTTCTTAATCCTAAACTGGAATTGCCCATAGATTTTCTCCTTCCTAATGATCCATTCTCTCTGATTACCTGCTCATTTAAATTGTCAGAATTCTATATCATTGACTGCCGTGTTTGTTGACAGTTCATTTATGTAGCTCTTTAAGATTTACAAAACATTTCCTCACAGAAAATCTCTGAAATAATATTGCAGGTATTACTCTTATTTTACAGGGGAAAATTGCAACTCAGAAAAAATTGGTTTTTCTCATTGTCATAAAGTTGTCAGTGTCAGGGTTAGAATACAAGACTGGATTTCTTCTGATTCCAGTGCCCTTTTTACTTTACCACATCACCTCTTTCATTAAACAACTGTTCACCAAACATCTCTGAATTCAATCTTTCCTGTGCCAATCATATTCAGAGTATAATAATGGGGCAAGTGGAATGTTAAATCCCTATAAATCCATAGGCAGTGACTCTGACCCAACAGATGAGACAATGTGGTTTAATGTCTTCATTTCACTCTGCTAGTGGAACTGCATGATCTTAATAAAATTTGATATTTCTGATTTTTCCAGGCTTTATTTCTGTTCTGTATTGACATAGGGAGAGGAGAGGAAAGCAACAGTATCACAATCCCTCGGCAAATGAAGACAGGTTTCTTTTTTCTTGTAAAAATAAAAAAATACAAATGTCTTTGTGTTTGTGTATGAATTGGTTTCTACCCTATTGTAGAGATCTGTTGAATGAAGTTCTTCACAATTTGTTCCCAGATCTTCTTTGGACCCATCCTCATGTGATCACCCCATATCCCAAGTAGTCTACTGTCTCATATCAGGATAACCCATATACCTTGCCAAATAAGCTGGATATGTGTGGAGTGAGGCCAAAGGTGTCACCTTTGCAGTTCCCCACCTTGCTCCACACATAGACACTCCTTTCTCGTCCTTAGATCAGCAAGACACACAATGTGAGTATAGAAATAGATGGGCTGGGGGGTGGAGCCAAGATGACAGAGTAACAGCAGGGGCTTGCTTGAGCTCTCCCCCAAACCCCTCCAAATACCTATAAAAATGGCTCTAAACAAATTCAAAAGCAGCAGAACCCACAAAATGACAGAGTGAAACAAATTCCCAGCCCAAGACAACCTGGATGATTGATTGGAAAGGTATATTGCACCAGGTGGGGAGAGGAGCACAGTTGGGCATGGGCACGTAGGCAAACCAGACCTCAGAGAACCTGGAGCAGGCCTCAGAGGCCTGAATCATGGGCAACCGTGGCAGTTTCCAGACTTCTCAACTCATGAACACCAAAGACAATTTAGAAGGTCAGTAGGAAAAGTTTGCGTCTATGATGAGAGAGAAGCTCAGCCCCAGTCCTCAAGCGCAGCCCCAGGGTGCCACCTGATTCTGGAGCTTCCAGCCCACAGACTGAGGGGGAATCAAGTGCCTGATCAGAGGGAATTGAGGGATCTCTTTGCCAGTGCAGGATTCTTTTGCTTTGCTTGTGCTTGGATCTGGGTCATAGTTCTTGGTGGTGGTCCTAGGGCAAGGAGGAGCACTGGCATGGTGGAGCTTGTAGTAGCAGTGGAGAGGAAATTCTCCTCAGAGTTCCAAGACAGAAAAGAGTGCTTGTGGTCATTCATAGACCACAGCACAGGCCAGGAAAGGAGTAAACACCCCGCCCCTTATCATACCAACTTGGAAGAACTGAAAATTCACAGGTCCCTAGAAAATTTTTTTCAGATATCAAGTATATCTTTCATCATTTTAAGGTGCACATTATTTCACTTGTTTATTTGGTAAATATATTGTCCTTGCTCCAGCCCTTTTGCTTTCTCTTCCAGTAAAGAAACATACTGTTCCTTAGAAGTATAAGAAACATACTCTATAAAAATCACTACAGAATTGCCCTTACTTTCTATATATTTATATTTACTTGAGCTTAGATACTTAGTACTCTGTCACTCTTGAGCTCAAATGTATAACTCATTAAACTAAATGTTGTCAAAATGATTTACTTTTACCTAGGCTTAATTGCTAGTGATTACTATGCCTGTTTTCATGCATGCCATCCTGCTTATGCCATTTTCCTTTTTTTTAATCATCTTATCCAATCAGGTAGGCGAAGCCTTAGAATTGTTTTAATTTGAATTTCTTTAATTATTAGTGATTTAGAGCATATTTACTCATATGATTGTTGATACCTTGGATATGTCCTATGAAAACTGCCTGTTCATATCCTTTGACCATTTATCAATTGGAAAAAGGGCTCCTATTTTCATAACTTCGACTCAATTGTCTATGTATTTTAGAAATGAGTTATTTATCAAAAATTGGCTGCAAAGAAACTCCCCGTTTCCTGCTTTCCTTCTAATTCTAGATGTATTGATTTTGTTTGTATAAAAACTTCAATTTTATGTAATTAAAACTATACATTTTACATCCTATGAACCTTTCTAACTCTTGCTTTGTTCTTAACTCTTTCTCTACTTAAAGTTTTGACAATTTATTTTTCCCCATATTCCACTGATTTGCTTATATCACTCTTCATATCTAAATCATGTGTCCATTTTGAGATTTATCTTGAGAAAGATATTGGTTTATGCTAGTTTCTGCCAGACTACTTTTCAGTTTTCCCAACAACTTTTGTCTAACACTGAATTATTGTGTGAATAGTTGGAGTCATTGGACTTATCAAACCCTTGTTTAGGATGCCCATTTGTTTCTGTGTCTTGTGTATCTAATTCATTACACCAATCAGCCTCTCTATTTGTTATGCAATACCAAATTGTTTTGGTGATTAGAACTTTGTAGTATATTTGATATCTGGTACTGTCTGGACCCCTTTCTTCCAAATTTTTTCATTGGTTTACTTGATATCCTTGATTTTTTGCCTTTTTTTTTTTTTAGTGAGGCAATTGGGGTTAAGTGACTTGCCCAGAGTCATACAGCTAGGAAGTATTATGTGTCTGAGGCCAGATATGAACTCAGGTCTTCTTGACTCCAGGGCTGGTGCTCTATCCACTGTGCCACCTAGCTGCCCCAATTTTTTGTTTCTTTCAATGAATTTTATTATTACTTTTTTTTAGTTCTATGAAGTACTTCCTTTGTAGTTTCATTGATATGGCACTGAATAAATAAATTAATTTAGGTATTATTGTCATTTTTATTATGTTGACTTGGCCTACCCAAAAGAACATTATGATCAGTATGGCATGACCTATTCTTCATAAACTGTGCTGACTCCCCTCTTTCAGATAACTTGGAGATCAATCCTCCAATTCCCTCAAAATTGTTGTCACCACCATAGGTACCTTCTCTATGTATATTTAGTCTAGTCCAGCTACTCTTCTCATAATTGTTTTCTCTGGTGCCATTTCTATGTTCTCAGCAGGCACTTTGATTGCAGAAACCACATTTGGTGGCTTTACTATTAATAAATGGTAAAAATTTTATTATAAAGTATTTTAATAGATATTTTCTGTTTTTTGGTCAGTTTGCTGTCCTCTTCCCAGTTATATTGCTAAATACCATTGGGGTGACTTTGCTTAGTTAGGCCTCTCACCAAACTTGTTTTTCAATTCACTGTTTCTTGCTATTTTATGAGGCAATTGTACTCATCTTTCACTCTCCTCTGTAATAATTGTAAAGTGGCTTTATATTCCAATTTTTGTTACCTTTGACTGTCATATCTCATTGTTTAGCAAGGGGTTTGAGTCTATGTTGACTGGAATTGTTTCTAGGCTCTGTTGTTTCCCCAATGTCACAACTGACTGTTATTTAAAATTTCTTAGGAAAGAGTAGTAGCCTCTTTCGAGGTATATTCTTTTACCCCTATTATTATATTTTTCCTTTTCTTTGTCTCTTACCCCTTCTTTGTAAAGAAGAAGAAGGTGGTAAAAGTACACACAGCACCAGTGTGCTAAGTTTGATGGAACCTATGTCTGAACTTCAGTTCCTCTTCTATTTCTTTCTCCTAGACCTTAATCACAGGTTCTCTTTCTTCATTTCCTCTTAAACCCTTCTTCATAATCCACCTTTCATGATTGGGGCTTGTTTTGATTAGGACTAGTCCCTCCCTCAGTTTACCCTCCCTTTTATTCTCCTACCCGCCTTCTCCTTTACTTCCCCTTTCTCAATTTAGTAAAAGGTATTTCTCCACTTTATGTATGTGTGTATTTCTCCCTCCTTTGAGCAATTCAGATTAAAGTGAATTTCAAGGGTCACCCACTTTCCCCACTTTTTTCTTCTTCTATATAAAAACTATACAAAGGCTTTTATTTGTGCACCCTAATTATGTGAGATGATTTCCCTCCCCCCATTCCCCTGTATTCCTTTGCCTTCTCATTCCTACTTCTTTTAAGATCTTCCTGTAACAAAACCAGTCCCATGTGGGTAGTGCCAATGGTTCCCAACTCCTTTCAGTTGTGACTTTTCCTTTAGTAATACTCTCAGATGTACTCCTTAGGGGTATGGATTTCTTTAATCTGTGCAGGAATAACAAATGGCCCAAAGGTGCCTGAAGCAATTATTCCTCCCACAAAAATTGCTGTAAAACTCAGTTATGCCTTGGTTCCTTTTGAAGGTCTTTCTCTTTTTGAAAAGTCACAAAATATAAATCAATAAAAATCTTTTTTCATCTCTCTTTCTCTCTCTCTCCTTCCCTCTCTCCCACCCTCCCTCTCTCTTAGTGCTTTATTCACTGTAAAACCTAGAGACCTCAAACAAGGACACATAAAAAGGTATTAAACATTTATAATAACCTCTTGGTGCTTGAAAAAGTAGTATCTTTACAGGAAATGACAAAACAGCAAATAATCTCTTGATGAAAAAAGATTGGTAAAACAGATTCAAATAGAGAAAGAGCAAAAGAAAAAGGAAAAAAGAGAGAGACAGTTGAACAGAGCCAGGGTTGGGGGAGGTAAGAAGAGAGACTGAGCATGGAAATGTAGGATCTACTGAGTTCTGTCTCTTTAGCTCAATGGATGCAATACCCTGTATCTCCATCTTACACTCAGGGCTCATCAGAGTCTATCAGAGTCACAGTATCTTTCTCTCCTCACTTACCATAGCATCAAAGTTAAAGCCAATTGGTAGGCTGTGGCATAAAACAAACAACAGCCCACTGTTGTCCCCACTGTCATGGATGCACTGTCTTCCCTTACTGCATCCCCAAGCTTCTCCAATGCAATAGCACTAAACCCTTTCCAATCAGTGCTGCTGTAACTTCTCATCTCCTACCTTCAGAACACTTGTTCATTTCTTGCCTCTCATGAGGTTTCTGGTCTCCCCTTCATTTTAGATGAGGGTGAAGGTGAAGGAGATTGCTCTTTCTGAAACAGAAACAGCCCCCAGAGGCTCAAATAGACAGATATTAAATAACATGTCTACTAGCAAGCACCAATTTCTAATGTCTTGATATATAAATAATTATTATAAATCATCTTCTGACAAGTGATCTCTCACTCTTTTTCTTTCTCACCCAAACCCTTCTCATTCTCAACAAGTCTCCTCTGTTTGAAAGGCACTGTCTCTCTGGAGCTACTGAAAGGCCATGAGACCATTCTGGTTTGCCTGGATGACTTCACCTGAATCTTGAGCGACAGAATAAAGAGAAGAGGGGCAGCTAGGTAGTGCAGTGCATAGAGCACCGGACCTGGAGTCAGGAGGACCTGAGTTCAAATTTGGCCTCAG